TAGAGAGTAGTAGTAGTATGTACGTACTAGTACCTAGAGAGTATAGTATAATAGTATAGTACTAGTACTAAAGAGTAGTAGTAGTACTATAGTACTAAAGAGTAGTAGTAGTACTAGTAATAAAGAGTAGTAGTAGTACTAGTACTAAAGAGTAGGGCGCGTTCCACTCGCAATACACTGACGTCGCGTGGAACTGTCGAGCGCGGACCCGTCTAATACAAAGATAACGGCTGCCTCGGAACGAACGTCTAGGTTTTTCATCTATATTTCTTTTCAATAACATCGTACTTCAATTCACAGGTGCCTTTCTGTTAATAGAAACATTTGTTAATATGATTGTGCTAATTTGGGATATTGTGCAATGTTTGTGTTAATGCAGAAAGTACCAGCGCGGCGAATTATGTACGGAAGATAGCTGGCGCCGCCCAGGCGGATCTTTTCATCGTTGGCTGTGATTGGTTTATTTATGTACGGAAGTACTCATGTCCCTTCTCGCCTTGGTTGATTTAGTTACGGTACATAAATCGATTTAGTTACGGTACATAAATCGATTTAGTTACGGTACATAAATCGATTTAGTTACGGTACATAAATCGATTTAGTTACGGTACATAAATCGATTTAATGACGGTACATAATTCCATGTTTGTGATTGGCTGAGCACAAATAAGTTGCATCTGATTGGTTGATTTAATGACGGTACATAAATCGATTTAGTTACGGTACATAAATCGATTTAATGACGGTACATAAATATCATTTATGTCCCTTCTCGCCTGCCATACACGATAGTGGTCTATCTGCCTCTTGCCGCCTTTTTCGTAGTGCTCAGTTGTACGCGATGTGCAGTTAAGTCGCTATTGCAGACGTCAATCACAAACGGCCAATGTAGAATTATAGTGTTGTAGAAACTATATTATGCTATGCCGTCTCGATACTTATTCACCAGCCTAATTCATGCCAGTCCGTCACCAAAGACTCTATTTAGGTATACTATAGGGTCTTTGGCGTGCCTCTACGGATGTTAGCTGGGCGAAAGAAACTAGCTACTAAAAAATAAATAAATAAATATAAATAGAGGCGACGAAATCATGTGTACCTGTATTGTATATCTGTATATCATTGTGTATGATCATTATAACGAGATTTCTTTACGCAGAGAAATCATGCCGCGCAGCGCCACGCCTTTGACTATGAGCCAGCTCTGGTACATAGATCTTGGTTCCCAGGTAATAATATTACGTCGCAACCAGCGTGACTCCAGCAGGCCTATCAATCTTGGCAATTACCTAGAAGACCTATATCTGGAGTACTCGTGTAGTACTCCTGTATAGCGTAACGCACCTAATTGATAAGACTTTGTCTTCATGCAAGTAACAACATTCGCCAGCACGCACTGATTAAATATAGGTCTGAATCGTGAAGAATTGATTCATAGCTCTGTATAGATTGAAAAGGAAAATGGTATCTATGCTGTTAGGGGCAATTACTAAAGGTCTGTATAACTATACATTTTGGTGTTATCTGAATGGGGAAATTGTAGTCGGTTCTCATTGCTTCTAGTTGTCCGAAACGAAGATAAGCTCACGGCAGACGAAATGTGTTGAATTGGACGTCGGCATCTTCTCTGGCAAGATTATGCTCAACATGTACAATGTAATGCATATTATGTGAATCATACGTTGCGCAGGTTTAACCTGGGTTTACACTGCCAACTTTGTGTTGGCGAATTGGCGAATTGGACCAACTTCCCAACGCTCTATCAACCGTTCTATGAACTGTGCAGCGCGTTTACACTGACGACTGCGAGTTGGCCAACTCGATCGAGCGGTCAGCGTCGACCGCGAGCGTACGCGTGGGGCGATGGATATAGGCATTATTGCGTGTATAAATTAATGAGGTATCGCACGCACAGGCGCAAAGACTCGTGCACAGTCACATAGTTGGGATGCGACGAGGGCAGTGGATTACTGGAGGGGTTTCACATTGGATTTGTCCATGCTCGTGATGCCGACCTCCTCCTCATGTGCACGTGCGCGTGTACGTGCGCGCACGCGTGTACCTCCCCCGTGTACAACAAGTGTACGTGAGTGTACGTATCTACCGTACATGCACAGATGCACATGACCGCACGCGTGCGCACACATACACGCGTGCGTGCACGTACACGCATGCGCGCACGCGTGCACATACACGCATGCCCGCACATACACGCACGCACATACACGCACGCGTGCACGTACACGCGTGCGCGCACATACATGCGTGTGTGCACGTACACGCGCACATACACACGTGCGTGTACGTACACGCGTGCGCGCACATACACCCGTGCGTGCACATAAACGCGTGTGCGCACTTATACACACGTACGTTCACGCGCACGTGTGCGTGCGATCGTGCACATTAGGAGCTCGGCTGCACGACGTGCTTGGACAAACCCAATGCCCTCGTGGCAACACCGGCATCCTGACTCTGTGACTGTACGAGTCTTTGTGCCTGACAGTGTGCGTGCAGTACCTCGTATATCGTATATCGTACCTCGTATATCGTATATCGTACCTCGTATATCGTATACCGTATATCGGCTTTTATGCCACAGAGAGTCGTGTTAGCTTCTTTGCCTGTCTCGCAGTGTTGTTATTACAATAATCCGTTAGTTCTGTATGCACGGTCGGGCGGGATGTGCCTGTCGTCGTCGTCGTCGTCGTCGTCGTTGTTGTTGTTGTTTGTTGTGCGGTTTCTTGGCGGCGGCAACCGAGAGGAGAACAGGGGGAAGAGAAGGATGTTGGGGAGGCGGATGAGGATCGTATGCGAGGATGCCATGTACGTGCACGCACTGGTTGATGAGCGACACCTTGTTCTCTGTAACTTCCGGCTCCGCCGTGTCCTCGCGAGTTCCCGTGACGTCGGCACCTCGGCGACGTAGCGCCTAAAGTAAATGACGTAGGGACGATGTTGAGCACGCAAAAGCGAGCGTGGTGGCGTGGTGCACATCGCAAATTCTGACCTTACTACTTCGTTGGGGCGGCACTGCCCGCCTCATTACCATTCCTACCCTATAAGGTATAGCGATTGGAACATCGCCACCTCGGCGACATAACGCCTAAAGTAAATGACCTAAGGCCGATGTTACGCATTTAAAACAAAGCGTGGATGCCGGACAGTTTGTGCGCATTGCAAATCCTTTCACTTTGATTTTAAATTGTGACTCAAAATTTTCACTTTGGTCGCAGCATCACGCAGCAATTTTTCATATGGCAATATACATGAACTGACGCTCGCGTCGCTCGTCGCTGTTGCAAGCCAAGATAAATACCTTCGACCGATCTTGGCCATTTAATCGACGTCACGTGTGCATTGTAAAATCCCATCTACAAGATTCACTTTGCTCGCAGCATCGCACTCCGGATTCCGCGTATGCTAATTGTATATGAAGATGGCGCTCGCGCGTTGGTCACCCACCGTTCAATGCCAAGATAATTTCCTTCGGCCGTTCTCACACGTTCAACGGCCCGGAAACCGGACCCTATCATAATAATATCTAATATATTATTCATTAAATAAATCTATATTGATATACTGAGATGACTGAAGAAAACTGCATAATATAGCTTGCTGAGAGAGAGAGAGAGAGAAGGTGGGAGACTGAGAAAAGGCGGTAGGGATGATAGCTGAGCGGCCGTAAAAGAGGCAGGAGGTTGAGCGAGGGACAAGGGGGGCAAGGGGAAGAACAGGAGGGGGTGAAGTAGGTGTTTTGCACGCTACAGGCTATAGGGCGCGCTCCTAATTATAAATACAGGTCTACTGATGATTATTTATTACATAAATCAATGCTGAGAGACCCCCTAACCATAAATAAATAGTCATCACAAAATATAACTCCTCTGGTGAGATATTGCGCATGCTCTAACACACTAACGTAGCCAGATTGTGTACTGATCATGACTGGTATATGCAGCGCGGACCTTACATGCCATAACATACCATAAGATCTTCTTCCTATTTCTTAAGTAAGGTTTACTGATGGAATGTTATCATATAAATCTATGCTAGGATAACTCCTCTTCATTTCAAATCCATAATTATTGCATAATATTAATTTTCTCCGGAGATATTGCGCATGCGCGAACACCGTTATTAACTCACCGAGTTGCACTCTCTCCCTCTTTCTCTTTCCCCCTCTTTCTCATACTCCCCCTCTCTCGTTTTCTCGCGCGCTCTCTCTCTTTCTCGCTCGGTCTCTCTCGCTCTAGTGAAATGAGCAATTTCAACAAATTAATATAAATGTGTAATGACGTACGCGCTTAATACCTGCGGCATCATGCCGCTACGTGGCGCGCCTACTCGGCCACAGTAATTGAGTGGCAAAGCAGAGGCTACAACCTTTTTGCAGCTTTTTTTATCAACTCCAAGAAAGAGTTTTGCTGTCGCCCTCATCTCAGCGGTGGTCACCCCTACATATTCAATAATGAACCCGACCTAAACAATGCCCCCCTGTACATAGTCATATGATGGGCGATACTTCATTAGGAGTGTTCCCTACTTTAATGTCATTAATGGTCATAATATCTATATATATATATATATATATATATATATATATANGACGTCGCACCTCGGCGACGTATAGCGCCCAAAAGTTAAATGACGTAGGGACGATATGAGCACGCAAAAGAGAGCCGTGGTGACGTCTGGTTACACATCGCAAATTCTGACGCTTACTACTTCGTTGGGGCGGCACTGCCCGCCTCATTACCATTCCTACCCTAGGAAGGTATAGCGATTGCCGGACATTCGTCCACCTCGGCGAACATAAACGCCTAAAGTAAAAATGACCTAAGGCTGCATGTTATCCGCATTTAAAACAAGCGTGGATGCCGGGCAGTTTGTGCGCATTGCACGTCCATTTACTTTTGAATTTGTGAATTGTGTATTCAAAATTTCACTTTGGTCGCAGGCATCCCGCAATAGCCAATTTTCCCATATGGCAATATACATGACTTTTGAACGCTCGCGTCGCTCGTCAGCTGTTGCAAGCCAATATAAATACCTTTCGGCCGATCTTGGGCATTCACTCGACGTCACTGTTGTGCATTTGTAATAATCCCATCTACAAATTCACTTTGCTCGCAGCATCGCGCCCCGGATTCCGTGTATGCTAATTGTACATGAAGATGGCGCTCGCGCGTTGGTCACCCACCGTTCACTGCCAAGATAATTTCATTCGGCCGTTCTCACACGTTCAACGGCCCGGAAACCGGACCCTATCATAATAATATCTAATATATTATTTATTAAATAAATCTATATTGAGATACTGAGATGACTGAAGAAAACTGCATAATATAGCTTGCTGAGAGAGAGAGAGAGAAGGGTGGGAGACTGAGAAAAGGCCGTAGGAATGATAGCTGAGCGGCCGTAAAAGAAGCAGGAGGTTGATCGAGGGACAAGGGGGGCAAGGGGAAGGACGGGAGGGAGTGAAGCAGGTGTTTTGCATGCTACAGGCTATAGGGCGCGCTCCTAATTATAAATACAGGTCTAACTGATAATGATTTATTACATAAATAAATGCTGAGAGACCCCTAACCATAAATAAATAGTCATCACAAAATATAACTCCTCTGGTGAGATATTGCGCATGCTCTAACACACGAACGTAGCCAGATTGTGTACTGATCATGACTGGTATATGCAGCGCGGACCTTACATGCCATAACATACCATAACATACCATAAGATCTTCTTCCTATTTCTTAAGTAAGATCTACCGATGGAATGTTATCATATAAATCTATGCTAGGATAACTCCTCTTCATTTCAAATCCATAATTATTGCATAATATTAATTTTCTCGGGAGATATTGCGAATGCGCGAACACCGTTATTAACTCACCGAGTTGCACTCTCTCCCTCTTTCTCTTTCCCCCTCTTTCTCTTACTCCCCCTCTCTCGTTTTCTCGCGCACTCTCTCTCTTTCTCGCTCGTTCTCTCTCGCTCTAGTGAAATGAGCAATTTCAACAAATTAATATAAATGTGTAATGACGTACGCGCTTAATACCTGCGGCATTATGCCGCTATGTGGCGCGCCTATTCGGCCACAGTAATGGAGTGGCAAAGCAGAGGTTACAACCTTTTTGCAGCTTTTTTTTACAACTCCAAGAAAGAGATTTGCTGTCGCCCTCATCTCAGCGGTGGTCACCCTTACATATTCAATAATGAACCCGACCTATACAATGCCCCCCTGTACATAGTCAAGTAATGGGCGATACTTCATTAGGAGTGTTCCCAACTTTAATGTCATTAATGGTCATAATAACATATATATATATCAGTACTCCTGATATATATATATGTATAGTCATGGTCATATATTAGTTTGTGGTTTAATGTCATTTAGGTTAGGGTTAGGGTTATGGTTAGGATTATCAATCATTGATCATTAATCATTAATGATATCAAAGTTGGGAACACTCCTAATGGAGCGTTAGCCCATGTGATAGTCAGAATAAAGGCTGTACATGTACTCAAAAGTACCTCAAACCCCTTTCCCACACTCAGACACGTGCCGCAGAAACGCCCGCGCAAATGGTCTCCCTCTGGGTGGAGCGGCACACCCCTGATTGCTGTTCTCTGATTGGCCACTTGGCAAAAAAACGTCCAACACGCCAACTCCGAGTTGGCGAAATTAGATTTATAGCGTTTTAATTTTCGAAGTAGTTGCTATCGATCGGTTGGACGCGCAACTTTTGCGTTTACACTGCCGATTGTCCGTTGCGAAATTGCGAAGTTGGTACAATTATTCTCCAACACAAAGTTGGCAGTGTAAACCCATGCAGCTTTAGTTGTAATGAATACGCGTATTTAGACGCTTTACTTTAAGCCTGGGACACACCATGCGAATTTATTCGCACGTCCGCACGTCCGCACGTCCACAGCGAAAATATCAAACATGTTTGATCGCTGCTAATTTCGATGCAGATGAAATTCGCAGCGAAATTCGCCCGCGCTTGAGCGGACACATCATGCGAATTTCGCTGCGATTTTACAATCGCTGCGGACGTGCGAATAAATTCGCATGGTGTGTCCCCCGCTTTAGGGAAAGAACCACGAATTTATAATACCACAGTTAAACATGTGTTAGCAACCCCCTCTATAGAACGACTACCTGTCTATAAAGGCCAAATTTTGCGATTTCCGTGAGAGGGAGTTATACAGTGGAAGCACCTA